GTGTAAACAGCCATTTGATACATCTTTTGGTTCGGCGAAGTTTTAAATAAATTAAAAAATGACCGACTGCTTCTGATGACCTCTTTCAAAGGACATGATCAGTGGACCCAAAGCCGTGTTCAAGATGATTCTAAAGTGTTTTCGGTGAGTACGATGTTAAATGATTGATGACACTTAATCGTCTTATTGCAAAAATGAAGGAGTCGGAAGACCGTTTTATGTTGGTTAAAAGTTGAGTAGAACAATGACGCCGTACGTGAAGGGCGACATCATTACTCGACACACAGAATGCGAAGATTTACGCATTATCGTTAAATTCGAGAATTAGATTATAATTGTTTTAGTAAAAAAAATGTTGTGGGTAGACAATGAGAAAGTATACAACACGAACATCTTGACGGTGGAAAGATTAACAATATGACGGTTAGGGATTGATTGAGTCAAGGTAACGCAATAGCGGTCTAAAGATTAAAGAGAATAATATCGAAGAAACGACGTGTCCGTGGAAGCAGTGGGGCGTTCAATCCTCCAGTCACATTTGTAACACGTATTCTCTTATAAATGTTTTATAGAGTGCGCGAGTACACGGAACATCCTGGTCCTATAGCGTGAGTATAGCAGGTAACTGTAACACCGACGTGGCGGACACCCCTCGCCCCGTGAACTATGACCCCGGACACGTGGTGCAAGCTCCACAGCACTTAGCCAGTCCCCCAGCCCCACCAATCCCGTAACCTGCCCTGACTGGCCTCACTGCCTTCGAGCGAACCCCTCACGTCCTATCACCAGGAGATGTCTACTGGTGTCCCAGATGCAACTTGGACTCTCCTCTCCGGATACCCTAGGTAACTTCTGTCTTTTTAAAAGAACTCGTGCGACACCAGGAGCAACGAGTCGGATCGCTTCTTATGACTTATATAAATTATAAACTTTGTAAGTTTATTCATGTCGCTTGGTATGATTTATACGATAGCCGTCTAGAGTCTTTGTAGCTCGAGGAAGAGGGGATTGGCTGCGAGGAGTATTGCTACACGTGGTGAATATAGGCAGTTCTACGGGACAGCTGACAGCCTGAAAGAGGAAGGTGTAAGTGCGCGATGAAGTGCAAGTGGAGACTGTCAGGCGATTTCGTGGGATAATCGGCATCCTGACGTTTCAAGGAGACACGGTGAGTAGAGCAGGTGGATCCTGATCGAGTTCGAGTGGAGTTCGAACGTCGTTCTCTAGGAAATCTTGGCACGAGCACTTCTCCAACAGTTAGGAAAAGAAACTGAGACTGGAGAAGTGTGGCTACGGAGAGGGTTGTCAAGTAGTTACCAGTAGCTTCTGTGTGGTAGAACCAAGAGACCTGGGGAATTCCAGTGGCCATTGGATGAAGAAGATGTGGAACAGTTAACGTGTAAGTAATCTCAGTGGGAATCGTAGATTTTGCACGGAGACGCGCCACGTAAATCGGGAATAGATAGCGTTATGGAGTAGTGGCGTGCCAGAGGATGCCAATGGATGCCAATGGATGCCAATGGACGGCAGTTGGTGGCAGTGGATGCTAGTCGTCGGGACAGGACGCCGTAGATAAATTGCAGAGATGCGGATATGCTTGCGCGGTGCCCGTTCGGGCGTTACGCGTTTCCCGCGTAGAAGATCTTCGCGTTCCTTGCTGACTCTGCTGCTCCTCCAGACTCCTCTTCATCTTTATGCCACTACACTCTCTCCAGTCTCTGGTACGCTCGTTACGCTACTTTACGGAGAGACATTGGTCCGGTCTGATAGTCTACGTGGTGGTGCTGTATGTATATATATACTCCAGACATACCTATAAGTACATTAAGCTGTAGACGCTCCCGGAGAACGCTCCTAGGGAACCCGTGGTTAGACTAGCTTTAAGATTTTTTTTTATTTTTGGTCACAAGACATTTTTCCACAGGGACTGGGTGCCTCTTCGTTAGCCGATATCCGATAGCCGATACCGACTAGGATTCTCGGATAATTCCAACGACCTTCCCATCCGGATTGGCTGTTTCCTATGAACTCGCCGTCCGTCGCGACGCCACTTCAAAAACTTACCCAAAAACCGATATTACGCTTTCACGGCTGGTGGGATTGCCTGGATCTGCTTCACTTGGATTTATACCAGATCGCCAACGGCATACCGGTACGCGGTTACTAATACCAGAATCAGCAGAACCTGGCCTCATCTCGCGCTTCGGATGTCATCCTGCAGAGTCGCAACCCTCGTCAGGAGATTCATCCATGCGAAGGACTAATTGGCTTAGATCGCGAAATGGTCGACGTTAACGAGTCGGTTGTCCCGTGCGACGATCGACTAAATATCTCACCCTCGGATCAACCCCCTCCTTATTTCACCCGGGACTGAAATTCGCAGGCGATATCTCAGGACACGCATCGTCCGTTCGTCACGTTCGATTTGCCTCCTGGATAACTTATCACGCAGGAATACCTCCTGGAATACGCAACCACCCTCCTCCATTATGGTTCCTCTTGGACGACTGGTAATTTAGCCAAGTCTGGAAGTTGCCGACACGCTAAAGTTTTCTTGGTAAAGCGCGAAACTCCGCCTGCTAACTTTTTTCTTTTTCATCTCCACGTCGGAAATGAAACAATGAATTCCGTGAATTTGCAAATCGCCCTAAACACTCGAGGTGGATGAAGCATTTTGTCACGGGATGGGTTTAGGGTAAAATTCAGCGGACTACGACACAGTGGAGGACCGGGATGAACGTCATCTGGCCAATATGGAGATGTATTTTTTTTTCTCCTCGTCAGCTTAGGCCGTGAATTTGTCCCTTTCTGAAGACCAGAGGCAACCCTTAAGGACATCCCTTACGCTCTGCCTCCATATCTTCTTACTCTTCTAGCCCTGGCACGTGCGATTTACATAAGCGGCTCTCACATTCCTTCCTTCAGTCTCTCTCTCTCTCTCTCTCTCGCTCTTGCTCTTTCGTGCTCTTTATCCTACGGTATGGTATTCCCACGAAGCTCCGGAAAATTTATCGGCCGTAATATGCATATTCAGAAGCACATGTTTCTTTATTAACTCGATCGTACTAGTAGGACTCTAGCCAGGGCCGAAATTAAAAGAGCACCGCGACGTCGTAGTTTCGCGCGAATTTCCACCTACTGGATGCTTCGAAGACGTCACGATACGCACGCCTTGTTCTCTCTCCCCCCCTCCTCTCTCCAGCTGAAAGCGTGCCGAACGTGTTGGACGTGTTGTCCCTCAAATGGTTCTACGAAAAGCTTCCATGGATCGAGTACGATCTTTTTATATCCGACCCTTGCCGGGATCCGCTCATGCGTCGACGATTCCATCCGACATTCAGGAAAAGAGAAATAAAAAGGATACGCCAATACACTCGCAACCTGTATATCTTCACGGAGGAAACAAAAGAAAATAAAAAGAAGAAAAGGATTCTATCCCGGGTCGTTAACGAGATTGCGATTTGCGATACACGAGCGAAAAGTTGGACTAAGTTTGTCGCACAAGATCAAAGGTCAATTAACACGGAAAAATCCTAATTAAAATAGAAACGATCGAGAGAAATAAATTCAAGACGTCATATGCCTGTTAGAGTATTTTTCTTTCTTATTGAAATCTAACGATGGCATATTTGTGTTGAATTTGATTAAAAAAGAAAAAAAAAATCTGTTTCTACGTATTCCAGGTGATCAGATCTCGCAATCAGTCATGCTTCTCAGAAGGTGGATCAGCCAGATGATCAGGGTGAGGATGGATACGTGGAGATAGATTTCCTCTGATTCCTGGATTCAGGATTGGAACGTGGTCCAGGACCAAGTGTACCTAAGGGAGGATCGCAAGAGAGACGAAGGGATGGATAAAAGGAGCGGACGAAGGAAGGAACGGAGATCATCTCAGAGTGGCGGTGACAGCATCCTCGGCAACAGGAGCGCGATAAGGATAGGCAGAGGCGGGGCGAAGGTTAGTACGAGAGAAATACCCGCATCGATCGGATTCCTTCGGAGAGAGCGCAATGAAAAGCGCCTTTAAGAGTCGTTCGGGAGTGGTGGGAGATTTCCTCTCTCCAGGAACGCGAGCGACTTCTGAGAAGGGAGAGAGAGAGAGAGAGAGAGAGAGAAAGAGAGAGAGAGAGTTGAGGCCACCGGTGCTGGTGGTGGTATTGTGGAACGAAGAGGCAGGAGGTACTCGGAGTATTTATATAGCTCGGCTTCCAGAAACTTTGCAAGAACAATTTATTACGGATATACGTACCATTTAGAGACTCTCGAGTTATTATGACATCGAAAAACTTTATCGGACTTCGTCGCCTCTACGATGCCGTCTGGAACAACAACGTTGCTGCTTACTTCGTTCTGGTAGATTTTTGGAACTTTGACGTTGACCTAAGAACACGTAACGACCTTCCGTGGAATATTTTAAAGGCGGAGAGAGTACGGCCAGCGGGACAGGATCGACAGGATTTAATTAAAGACTCAAAGTTTTTGGATAAAAATCCAAAATTATCTTAACGGACATCGATCGGACTCAGATGCTGCGGAAGTGGGTTGTCGTGTCAGGGAAGGCGACGAATTTAACCTTTCCGCAAGGAGGGAGGAAGTTGTTTAAAAGGAGAATGCTTGGCTACGTAATAACGTATTTGAAGTTGCGAGAGGTGCAACGGGAATTAAGGGGTGGACGAGGGGCGGGAGGGGCAGGCGGACGTTGGAAAGGAGGAGTAGGAGGTGGAGGTTTCATTATTCGCGCTCGCGCGGCCCATTAGGTAAATTAAAATATAAATGCGATAAAATATTACGTGCTGTCGAAAAAAGTGAGAAAATGGAAGCGCAACTACCGGAACTGTCGATACGTTCGCCATAATGCGTTTTTCACGTGGAGTTTATTATTTTTCGTTTTATTCGCTGAGCCAACCCTCTCGCCCTCGTTATACGTGTCCACGTGCTATCCTATTTCATCTTCTCTTACCCCCTTCGTGCTGCATGTCGCAATTTGCGCGTCAACGATTTTAATAGATTCACCGTTTACTGGCACTGCAGAATACAATGCTTAGTTCGCGCCGAGCGTGACACGCATAGGGCTAACCTGTCGTTGGATAGGTGCGAATAGTCGGGCGGAGCTACGATGGTAATTCGATTAAGCAGTCAGGTTGGGGCTGATTCCTTAATGGTTATATACGGTGCCTTTGGATATTGTCGATAAAAAAACAGGCTTGTTTTGATTCACCCTCGAAACCTGAAATTACAAGGAAATAATAAAATCCACTTGTTACGCTCTTTACTAGATTACGAGATGAGATCCTGACGAATTCGATGAACCAGCCAGTGCGACTATGGACCAGTGAAGCAATATACACACGTGGCAAGGGAATTGGGGATGAAAGGCAAGAGAGAGAGAGAGAGAGAGGGTGGACCAGTACGAGAGGGTGAGTAGGAAGCGGTGAGCGTCGACCGTTGCCAGGGCAATGAATCGCGGATTGATGCAGGGATTTTCAGGACCAGCCGCCGCGTCCTGGACCACTTAGCCGCACAACTTTCCACGGGGTTGATTCAGCCTATTACGGATTCGTCTGGCCGCAGGGGATGATACCAGAAGAAGTCTTCAGAAGTTAGCCGACAACAAGGACCAGCAAAGAGCATCGTTCACTCATGGGACATGTGGATAAGGGTTGCTCCTTAACCTTGGACCGAGGCGCGACTCCGCACGTAAGGGCGCGGGCCGTTGAAAATCCTGAGGGTGAAACTGGAATGAGATAATAGCCAAGAAATCTTGCTGGAGGAAAGGAGTAGCTGCGAGAAAGGGGTTCGCGGTAAGCAGAGGGGGTGGAAAAAAAAGTTTGATAAAACTTGGTAAAGCACGGCGATGCTCAGTAAGGGTTGGCAGTCGGCTGGGGTGCGAGAGGGAGCGGAGTCTAAGGATGAACGAGGGAGAGGATTGCTGGAGATTGGCGACGTAGCCACGTAGAAGCTGACGGCAGCGGTGCTGGGTACCGGCGGCGAGGACGCCCTTGTCCGGGGGTAACTTTTCCCAGTGTGCGCCTTCCGTCTCGGTAAGGGTGGTAGGTGTTCCTACCCCCTCCGCAGTATATATAGAGAGGTTATCGTTGGCCGCGTGCACGAGAGGAGGACCTCGAGCGTGTGCGCGCCGGGAAAGTTTCGTCGAGAGTTTGCGAGAGCGTCTGCGAGGCGCGCGAGGCGAGCGAGCGAGGGAGGCCGACGCCGAGCGTCGCGAGGCAGTTCCCGCTAAGCGGCCGCGTCGTCCGGTGCCAGTAGCGTCGAGCGCCGCGGCAACCAGTAGCGTCACCAGAATTTAAAGCGGCAGGCTGCACGGCCGACTGACCGAAAGGAAAAAGATTTTCTTCTTTTTTCTTTTTATTTACATCATAATCGTTACCAATGAAAATCGACCGATCGATCAATCGAATATCGCGCCTCACTTTTCACGCTTGACGCACGAACTCGCGAAACTTTTTCACGAGTTTACGCGAAGTTTCCCGAAGATTTTACGAGTACCTACGCTTTCGCCGAGGCACAGGGTGATTCTGCCGCGAGGTGGCCGCGCGCGAGGTCGCTTCTCGTGAGTGGAGCTTGCGCTTACTACTCCCCACTTCTTTCCTCTCCCTACTACCC